CTCTTTCGTTTTTCCTAGTGGTTTCCTCTCTTCTTTCGATCTCTCTGGTGCCTTTTCTCCTTCTTCCCTTCTACTTAAAGTCGTTCCTGCTTCCTTCGTCTCTCCTACCGGTTGTTCTTCTTTTTTTACTTGTTCCAGTGGGTTTCCTTCCTTTTTATATTGTAGCTGTTGTTCTCCTCCTTCCTTCCCTGGTGTCTTTTTTTCTTCTATGTTACCTGAAGCATTTCTTTCTTCCCTAGTTTTTCCTACTAGTTCTTCATCTTTTTTAACTGCTTTCGGTGGGCTTCCTTCTTCTTTTGTTACTGCTTGTTGATTTCCTTCTTCTTTCACTTCTCCTGATGCCTTTCCTTCTTCTTTCACTTCTCCTGATAGTTTTCCTTCTTCTTTCAGTTCACTTCGTGACTTTTCTACACCTCTAAATTCTTTTGTTATATTTTTTTCTTCTTTCGTCTCTGCTTTTAGCTTTGCTTCTTCCTTCGGTTTCCCTAATGGATATTCCTCTTCTTTCATTTGCCTTGGTGCTATTTCTCCTAAATTCATTCCTTTTAGTCGCATTCCTTCTAATTTTTATGTCATTTCTTCTAAATGCAATTCAAAAAAATGTTCAAAAGGAAAACTGACGCTCTTGTGGAAGAATGGCTGGAGTAGCTGATGATGGGAGCTGTGATTCTGTTGTGCAAATGCCATAGATTAGCAGCGCAAGTACGAGTGTATCCATGACAGCATAGATTTGAGACTTCAAAGAAAGGCTCACGTTGTTCTCCTGATGTGACCAACTTCACTATTTCAACGTCAGAATACAACAAAATTTCAAGAAAAGTTTTAGGGAACCATCTAAATGTCCATAATATAAACTAGCTCGGACATTTTCAAAGAAAACCAGGTGCAAACTTTGTGTTTAGATACTTTGCCATTGACTCAACTTTGTAATACAAATGCTTGCTTCTGCAAAATGGGCACTCGTGAAAAGGTTTTGCAGAAGCACCCATCGCAGAAAAGTATGTTTCCAACAGTCTTTGCGCACAAGGAGTAAAAAACACGTATACA